AATGAAAGAAAAATAGCACCTCTGTTTCCTGAAATATTAAGTATGTTCCTTTCTTTTTAACTGCATTTCCAATTTCAGCAATTGTTTTGTCTGGTCTATTATTTGAAATGATGTAGTGAAATAAAAATACAATATATTTCACCATAAAGAAAAATGAAGTAGATCTGTTCTTTGGCATGAGGACATGTCATTTATAGATTTTGGAAGGACTATGTGCTATTGAGTAAAACCAAGATACCATTGCTAAAGAAAGATACCATCTTCACTGTCAGAATAGAGCTGTATCACTATGCCTGCTCCTACTCAATGGAAGCATAGGAATCAAAGATCCAGGCTACTGTAGGAAATGTGAGATCAAAAACTCCTGTAATATCCAATTGATCAGAATCAAAACAGATTGTTTGGCATAATCAAAAACATAGAATAACCTAAACACTATCAGTAGAAGATCAGTAAAGTGTAGCTAATAAGTGATATCTGGATACTACTACATTACACTGCACTATACGTTATGTTATAGTTATGTTATCATGTCATGTTTGTTACATTATGTGTTGTATTATGTTATGTTGTTATGTTATGTTATGTTATCTTTGTTATACTCTGTTCCACAATAGTGTACTGCATTATACTATCCTATATTAGTGCCATACGAGTTATATTAACAAACATATAATCATGATGCTGAACCGAATAATTTAAGAGTACTGAATATTATGTGGATATATTTTTCGTTGAGAAAGACACAATGTCAGTTGGCACATTCCAAAGTTGAACCTCCTTATTTTAAGAATAATTGTATTTTTCTTGCAAGAATTATTTTTCTTGGTTTCCTTATGTTGTCTGCACAGGTGATGTTACTTAGCCTGGTAATGAAACATCTTCAGAAAAACAAGCACACTCAGAGAATCAATCAATCAGAATAGAGCTGGAAGGGACCTTGGATGTCTTCTAGTCCAACCCCCTGCTCAAGCAGGAGACCCTATACAATTTCGGACAAATGGCTGTCCAGTCTCTTCTTAGAAACTTCCAATGTTGGAGCATTCACTGCTTCTGGAGGCAGGTTGTTACACTGGTTAATTGTTCTAACTGTCGGGAAGTTTCTCCTTAGTTCTAGGTTGCTTCTCTGTGTTGGATATGTTTGCTGCCATGAGTTATTTGTAATAGCAGTAAAGGTGGGAGACAAATAAACAGAAATGATCTGAATCCAGACATACCTTGAGACCTTGAACTATTTATAAAAATAAAGGTGGGATTAAAAAATATATCTCCGAACAAAGGCCCATGCTGCAAAAGTGAAAACTGCTCATAGGTTTGGGGTATGTGGCTGGTTATAATACTTGACAATTACGTGCACAATCTGGTAGAATAAAGAAAACAGAAAGCTGGTTTTATAAGAAAAGTCTAGAGTTTACAGCGAGGCTGAGGAACTTTGGGAGTTGAAGTCCACAAGTCTTAAACTGGCCAAGTTTGAAGACCCCTGTACTAGGAAGACCTAACCTGAAATTAAAGCCTTATTCCTTATGGAAAGTTAAAGCCTTATTCCTTATGGTTTCCTTATGTTCTCTGCACAGATGATGTTACTTAGCCTGGTAATGAAACATCTTCAGAAAAACAAGCACACTCAGAGAATCAATCAATCAGAATAGAGCTGGAAGGGACCTTGGATGCCTTCTAGTCCAACCCCCTGCTCAAGCAGGAGACCCTATACCATTTCAGACAAGTGACTGTTAGTCTCTTCTGAAAAGCCTCCAGTGATGAAGCACCCACAATTTGGATGGCAAGCTGTTCCACTAGTTAATTGTCCTCACAGTTAGGAAGTTTCTCCTTAGTTCCAGGTTGCTTCTCTCCTTGATTGGTTTCCATTCATTGTTTTTTTATCCTGACCTCTGGTGCTTTGATAAATAAGCTAACTCCCTCCTCTTTGTAACAACCTTTCACTTACTGAAATATTGCTATCATGTCCTCCCCTAGTCCTTTTTTTCTCTAGACTAGCCAAACCCAAATCCTGCAACTGTTCTTCATATGTTTTAGTTTCCAGGCCTTTCATTACCTTAGTTGCTCTTCTTTGCACTTTTTTTCCAAAGTCTCAACATTTTTTTTATAATGTGGTGACCAAAACTGGATGCAGTATTCCAGGTGTGGTCTTACTAAGGATTTATAAAGCGGTACTAATACTTCCCGTGATTTTGATTCCATTCCTCTGTTTATATAACCAAGGATTGTATTAGCTTTGGGGGGGGGGCTTATGCTGCACAGTGCACACTGCTGGTTCCTATTTAAGTGATCATCCACTAGGATTCCAAGATCCCTCTCACAGTTACTCTTTTTGAGCCAGGTTTCATCTAATGTCTGCTTGTACCTTTGATTTTCTCTACCTAAATGTAAAACTTCGCTTTTCTGCACATTAAATTTCATTTTGTTGGATAGGGCCCATTGTTCAAGTCTGTCAAGATCTTTTTGGATCCTGAGCTTGTATTCTGGGGTGTTGGCTATTCCTGCCAGCTTAGTGTCATCTGCAAATTTAATGAGTTCCCCTTTTATTCCCTCATTTAAGTCATTTATGGAGATATTGAAGAGTACTGGGCCTAGGACAGAGCCTTGTGGTACCCCGCTGTTTACTTCCCTCCATGTAGATGTAGTACCATTAAGGATGACTCATTGAGTATGGTTACAAATCCATCTGGTGGTGATGCTGTCTATCCCACATTTTTCTAGTTTACCAAGAAGTAGGTTGTGGTCTACTTTGTTGAATGCCTTGCTAAAGTCTAAGTCTACCATGTCCACAGCATTTCGCTGGTCTACTAATTTAGTAACTTTGTCAAAGAATGAAATAAGATTGGTTTTGTTAAATCCTTGGATTCAAAGAGTAGTACAACAGGCATTATGTGAACCAATAGCTTCTTTAATGGCATTGGCAGATTCATGCAGTAAAACGGAGACTCACAGGCCTCCTGCTTCTTCTCTGCTTACAACCAACAACGAACGAACAAGAACGGTCCGGGTAAACTTGTTACAGAGCGCGCGCGCTTTCTTGCGCATGTGCACAAGCTGTCGCCAGTTTGTCTGGCCCCGGGCAGCTTCTGCAGCCTGTTGCCATGGCGACCGCCCGGGCTTGCTTGCTGCAAGTCCCGGGACACAACAGGTTTGGCATGATATGTTTTTAACAAACCCATGCCGGCTTTTAGTTATAACTTTATTTGTTTCTGGATAGAATAGAATAGAGCTGGAAGGGACCTTGGAGGTCTTCCAGTCCAGCCCCCTGCTCAAACAGGAGAACCTATACCATCTCATGACTGCCTAGCCTCTTTATAAAAATCTCCAGTGATGGAGCACCCACAATTTCTGGGGGCAAGCTATTCCACTGGTTAATTGTCCTCACTGTCGGGAAGTTTCTCCTTAATTCCAGGTTGCTTCTCTCTTTGATTAGTTTCCAACCATTGTTTCTTGTCCTGCTTTCTGGTGCTTTGGTGAATAATGTGACCCCCTCTTCGTCATGGCAGTCCCTCAAATACTGGAATACTGCTATCATGTCTCCCCTATTTCTTCTTTTCTTTAGACTAGCCAAACCCAAGTCCTGCAGCTGTTCTTCGTATGTTTTAGTCTCCAGGCCTTTGATCATCTTAGTTGCTCTTTTCTGAATTTTTTCCAAACTCTCAACATGGTGACCAAAATTGGCTGCAGTATTCCAGGTGTGGTCTTACTAGGGTTTTATAAAGCGGTACTAGTACCTCATGTGATCTTGATTCTATGCCTCTGTTTATACAACCCAGGACTGTATTCACTTTTTTGGCTGCTGCTGCACACTGCTGGCTCGTAGTTAAGTGACCGTCCACTAGGATTCTTATTATCTTTTCCAGCATCTTCCCAAGTATTGAAGTTAGGCTGATTGGTCTGTAGTTTCCCGGATCTGTTTTTTTTTTCCCTCCTTTTTTGAAGATGGGAACCACATTGCTCTTTTCCAATCCTCAGGTAATTCCCCAGTCTTCCATGATTTTTTTAAAGATATGGTACAATGATTCTCAGATAACATCTGCCAGCTCCTTCAGAACTTTGGGATGTAATCCATCAGGTCCTGGTGACTTATATTCATCAAGATCAGATAGGTGTTCTCTAACCATTTTCTTGCTTATTTTAATTTTTATTTCTAGTCTGTCTTTTACAGTTAGGTTTTTGTTAGGCTAGGCTATAGTTTCTTTTTGCGTGAAGACTGATGCAAAAGAGTTAAGCAGTTCTATTTCTCTCTGCTGCCATCTTCTCTCTTAAGTGAACCTACTGTTTCCTTGACTTTTTTCTTGTTATTTATATGTTGAAAGAAACTTTTTTGAACTTCAAGAAGTCAACAGCACAATCCTGAGCTGCATATATTTTAAAATATTGACATTCTATTTTTTTCTGGTCATAGTGGATTTATAAAACTAATTAACATTTTGTGGCATTGTCTCCTTATACAAAGAAAGTAACTTTCCTGACAATAGGCCATCATAGACAGATTGCATGGAGATTCTTGGGGGCTTAGAGAAACAGCAAATATAAACACTGGAGAAAGTGTACCATTCATTTTTATTTACGACGAAAGATATTGTATTTTTATTTCACTACATCATTTCAAAGAAGAGAACACACAAAACAATTGCTGAAATTGGAAGCACAGTTAAAAAGGAAGGTACATACTAAATATTTCAGGAAACAGAGGTGCTATTGTTTCTTTCATTAAATAGTTCCCAAAAGCTTGTGTCTTTTTTGTTTAATTTTGGGCCATGAGATTAACTAATATAAAACAAGTGTGAGAGAAAATTTCCCTATGTGAATACATTCCTTGATAGTTTTCACATAGTTCAACCCAATCCAGTTTGATCCAGTTCAGTCCAATCTAATGCAATTGAACCAAATCCAATCAAATTGTTTTGTTTTTGAGCTATTCAAAGAGCCAACTAAAAATCCACTACAAATATTTTACAACTTGTTATTTTTCTTGTTCCTATCCCCTTTTCATATTGTCATCTTTTTCTCAGCATTTGCTCCATCCTTCTAAGAACCCTGCCTAGGGCCTCCTTCACCTGATGGTTCCTCAGAGAGTAGATCATGGGGTTGAGAAAGGGCGTAACGGCAGTGTAGAAGACAGTGACTATTTTAGCGGCAAGTGACTGACTTTTCCCACCTGGAGTTACATACATTCCTGCCGCAGAACCATAGAAAAGGGTCACCACTACGACATGGAAGGATATGGTGGAGAGGGCTCTCTTCCTGCTACTTTGGTTAGAGGATTTGATCAGTGTGACAACTATAATGCCATAGGAAATAGCTACAAAGATTAAGTTGCCCAATATGATGAAAATATTCATGGAAAAAAGGATAAGTGGAGCATTTCCAAGTGGAGGACAAGCTAAGGACAGGAGCCCTTGATCACACAAAAAGTGGTCCGAGACATTGGGGCCGCAGAAAGACAGCCTAGAGATCAAAGTTATTGGGACAGCATATACCAAAAAACCAGCCATCCAGCAACTAGCCACAAGCTTGGAGCAGTTCTTTGGAGACATAATTGTTGGATAATAGAGTGGGTGGCAGATGGCCAGATAGCGATCCAAGGCCATGGCTGAGAGAAATAAGGCTTCGGTGCTGCCGAGGGAGTAGAAAATGTAGAACTGAATGAAACAGGCTTGGAAGGAGATAATCCCTTGAGGAGAAGTCAGATCAAAGAGCATACGGGGCATGGTGGTGGTCACATAGCAGATCTCCAGCAGGGAGAAGCTTCCCAAAAAGTTATACATGGGGAGCTGTGCTAATTGCGCATCTACATGCACCAGCATGATAATAATGGCATTCTCAGCCAAAGTGCTGATGTAGATAATAGTAAAAAGAATAAGAAGGAAGAAACGTTTTTGTTGTCCACTCTCCAGGCCTAGCAAAATGAATTCCTGGACTGTGGTCCTATTGGTCAGCTCCATCTGGAATCGAGTCAGAATTATACATTGTTAAAGATTGTCAAATATATCAATATAATTCGGACAAATTTCTAAAATATCTGATTGTGGGATTACCAAATTCAGAACAAATAGTTTGGCAATATGGATCTCTTCTATGGGTGTCATTAAGAATGTTCAAGAACAGTCCCAGTGCCTTCTATCACTGGACCCTTTCCAATAACATTATGAAAGTATAAAGTGAATGGAATTTCACTTTATATTTCAATGGATACATTGAATAGCATTCAGTGGAAACTGAATGCTATTATATCATCCACATAGCTGCCTTGAATAAAATGTTTAAACTGCACCAAACCTTAGATGGCTTCATCGCATCTACAGCCAAGTACTATAATCCATTTTTTTATAATTTAAAACTGTGCTTTTCAACTTTGAGAAACTTTAAGATGTGTGGATTCCAACTTCCTAAATTCTGCCTGGGGGAATTCTAGAGTTGAAGTCCACATATTTCAAAGTGTTGAGAAACACTGTTCAGAATGAACAACACATGATAAGAGACATGTTGATAGATGATAGATGGATTTAATTTATTTAATTTAATTTAATTTAATTTAATTTAATTTAATTTAATTTAATTTAATTTAATTTAATTTAATTTAATTTAATTTAATTTAATTTAATTTAATTTAATTTAATTTAATTTAATAATTTAATTTATATACCGCCCTTCTCCCGTAGGACTCAGGGCGGTGCACAGCATATTAAAACAGACAAACAAAATACATCAAAGAACAGAAAAAA